ATTGACCCAGAATTACGTATCCGGAGAGAAAAAATGAAACTGTATACTTTCGTTGTATAACTTATAGTTTATTGTGAGTTACATTTTATGTTATTTAACTCTAGACAAAAATAATAATTTTTAGTTTTACTTTGGTAAATTTCAGCCGTTTTCCCGTGAAAAATGTACCGTTATCCCGGCCATAGAATATTCGCCAGAATTAAGGCGTATCTACCAGCATCGCTATTTCCAACCACTGATGAAATTGTTTTTTTTTTCCTTTCGTAAATACCTAACGGTGGAATTTATGGGGTATATAATTTACGTTTATAAACTTTATGTTCACGTGGCACAGTAGCCGCTATCACCACCACCTTGCTCGCCTACCTTTTATAAATTATAAATAAGGTACTTTTAGCTAAATATGAAAAAAAAAAAAACGTGCACTACATATACGTTATATTATGATATACCTTATAATATAACCAAATATCAACTAAAATATTCACCAAAAAATGTTTTAGATTCGAAGTTGAGCGATTTTACTATGATGTTTATTGTTTTATGCTGAGTACAAAGATTATACCAGAAATTTTGCTTTGATATGTACGTGCAGCACTAGTTTTGAAAAGAAATATTGTCTGTGTGGTACTTTAAGGCGGTAGTTTTTTGATTTTCCAAGGAGCTTTCATAATATCCGAGAAAACCCAGAATAAAACGTAAGAACAACGGGAAATTCACGAAAGTGATGCTTTTGTTTATTTTCAACTTTGTTATTTGTTGTGATTCAATTAAAAATATTCTTAAAAACTTGAAATTTAGATAGAAACTTATATTTGTCTTTTCTAGATATAGTAAAATTTTAAAACATTTGAGCCATTTTTGAGCTGTTTATAGTAATTTTAATTTTGTGAGTTTAGTACGTAATTTTTATCTGTAGTAATTTTTCTGAATAATCATCTGTAATAGTAGTAATAATCTGAAAGGACATTTTATCTGAGTAATAATTTAGTTGTTTTCATAATAATTGGGAAAAAATCGGGACAACCGTAGGAAAAACGTTTTTCCCAACTTCTCAGAAGTAGAAGACTGATTAGTCTCTCTTCATTTAAAAATTACTACTAAACCTATTCTGCACATCTCACAAAAAAATCCTACTCACGCTTATGACTGAATTGTAAAATTTTTATTTTTTTATTTTTCCCATTATCAGAAAATATTGAGCAATTTGATTCTCAATTTAAATATTTTATTTTTTAAGAATTTTCGTACATGAACTGTTAAAAGCCACATACTGTTATGATATACTCCGTAAAGTAAAATCTGTAATATACGCAATTGTATGCAAAATTAAATTTCAGATTTCGATTCTTTACACGACGGCGAACAGGATTTACGTTATGCTGTTTCGTTGATCATTCAATTCAGCGAACGCCAGCCGCGCCTAACCAGGTGCGTTTTCGAAAAAATATTTTAGGAGGGAGTGGGTTAAGGTTGTACACTTTTAGACTCTTATAGCAAAGAAATTTACATACTCTCAATTGTAGGATAATTTATTATTCGTTAAAAATATGAATATCTTATAACATTAATTTTTAGCCTTAAAGGCTAAACCCCCCGTATTACCAATTTTCACATATAACGTATTTATAGCGAACACAGCCTAAATGATAACGTAATCCATATTATCGTAATGATAATGGGCACTATACAATATCGCCGCATCAGTTATAAATTTCTAAAAGCAAATAAACCGCGAACGACAATAACAACAATGCGCCCGTATTACGCCTACCGTCTAGTAATAAAATAAAAATAAAACCAAATATCGCGTTTGCCTTCCTCGTTAAAGGAAACCACTTTTGAGACTCCGTTAAAAACCATCGTGATTTCAAGGAAATTTCAAGGGGGGGGGGGG